AGGAAGTACTGCGGAGCATTTGAGGATTGTTCTGCAAGTGTCAGGGAGAAAAAGATTTATGCTAAGCCTTCTGAAATGCGAGTTTTGGCTCAAGTCCGTAAGTTTCTTGGGCATGTGATTTCTGCTGAGGGAGTCGCAGTGGATCCCAACAAGATTGAAGCGGTGCTGGATTGGGAGAGGCCCAAGACGGTTACCGAAGTGAGGAGCTTTTTGGGTTTGGCGGGTTACTACCAGAGGTTCATTAAGGGATTCTCCACGATGGTTCTTCCATTGACTCGCCTTACTCGGAAGGAGACTCCTTTTGTGTGGACGCACGAGTGTGAGGAATGCTTTCAGGAGTTGAAGGAGAGATTGACCATCGCGCCTGTGTTGATCCTTCCTGATCTTGAGGAGCAGTTTGAGCTTTACTGTGAAGCTTCTGGAAAGGGGCTAGGCTGTGTTTTGATGCAGAACGGCAGAGTTGTTGCTTATGCTCCGAGGTAGTTGAAGCCTCATGAGGAGAACTACCTGACTCATGATTTGAAGTTGGCTGCGATTGTGTTTGCTTTCAAGATTTAGAGGCATTATCTGTTCGGTATGCAGTTTGTTGTGTTCAGTGACCACAAGAGCGTGAAGTATCTGTTTGATCAGAACGAGATGAACATGAGACAAAGGAGATGGATGGAGTTTCTGAAGGACTACGACTTCGAGTTGAAGTATCATCCTGGCAAGGCCAATGTGGTAGCTGATGCTCTTAGTCAGAAATCCGTGAGTCTAACCAGTTTGTTGATTGGTGACTTTGATGTCATTGAGAGATTTTGAGACCTATCGGTGACTTCCTTGTTTGGGGGTGCACTTCTCGAGATGGAGACTGTCAGAGTCAAGAATGAGCTTATGGAGAAGATCCAAGATGCACAAGTGCAGAGAGAGTGCCTGGACTACATGAAGAACCAAGACGGTGTGTCTTGGAATGAGGATGGACTTCTATTATTTCAAAAGCGGATTGTGGTTCCCCGAGGTCCTTTGACCGAAGAGGTTATAGCGGAGGCCCATAAGGGCTGGTTCACTGTTCATCCTGGTGCTACAAAGATGTATCAAGACTTGAAGAGGAATTTCTGGTGGCCGGGCATGAAGAAGGACATAGTTGTGTATGTGTCCAAGTGTTTGATTTTCCAGAAGGTGAAGATAGAACACCAGAAGCCGTCTGGTAAACTTCAACCTCTTGAGTTCCGGAATGGAAATGGGAGAGCATTTCCATGGACTTCGTGGTGGGTTTGCCGAAGACTCAGGTTGGCTGCGACTCTATCTGGGTCATTGTGGACAGACTGACGAAGTTTGCCCATTTTCTTCCAGTGAAGGTGAGCTTCACTACAGAGCAGTTGGCCAAGCTTTACGTTCGCGAGATTGTGAGACTTCACGGGGTGCCCGAGAGTATCATTAGTGATAGGGACCCGAAGTTCACATCTCGGTTCTGGAAGGCGCTACGGGAAGATTTTGGGACTCAGTTGAGACTGAGTACAGCCTATCACCCTCAGACTGATGGACAAAATAAGCGGACTATCCAGACCTTGGAGGACATATTGCGGGCTTGCATGTTGGAGCAGGGCTCGGCATGGGATAGGTACTTTCCGATGTTGAGTTTTCGTATAACAACAGTTTCCATGCTAGCCTGGGCATGGCACCCTACGAGGTGTTGTATGGTAGGAGGTGTCAGACTCCTACCTGCTGGTCAGATGTTGGAGATAAGGAGTTGTTTGGCTTGGACTTTGTCCAAGATACCACCATGCAGATTGAGATGATCCGTGAGAAACTGAAGCAGGCGCAGAATCACCAGAAGAGTTACTATGATGTCAAACATCGTCCAATGGAGTTCAGTGAAGGTGAGCACGTGGTTGTGAGACTTTCACCTGTCACCGGTGTTGGTCGGGCACTCGGAGTGAGGAAGCTGAGCTCGCAGTTTATTGGGCCATACCAGATCCTTAGTAGAGTAGGACCTGTTGCCTACCGGCTTTCCTTGCCTCCGAACTTGGCCAACATCCACGACATGTTTCACGTGTCTCAGCTTCGGAAGTACGTAGCAGATCCTTCGCACGTGGTACAACCGGATGATGTGGAAGTTTGGGAGAACTTGAAAACTCCCGTCGGACTACTCAAGATTCTCGACCGTGGCGAGAAGAAGCTGAGGAGCAAGATCTTTCTGATGGTCAAAGTGCAGTGGACCAGAAGAACTCATCAGGAGTGTACTTGGGAGCGAGAGGACGAGCTTCTCCGGCAGTATCCCGACTTTCGAGACAGGTATGTTTTTAATGTTGAGGACAAAATCCTTAAAAATGTGGGGTAAATGTAAGAACCCGCACCGCTAACTAAGAAAATTAATTAATTAACCGTGAGAATTAGGAAATAATTCCATAATTGACCCTAATAATTATTATGAGGCTTTAAGAATTATGGTAAGTGATTAAGAATGCTGAAATTCGCTTTTCGGACGAAAAGTGCAGATACCGTTCTGCTACTCGGTATAAATGCGTACCGATGAAGTATCCCGGAAAATTATTGTAAGTGCATGAATATTCCTAGAATATTATATAGGACTTGTAAAACAAGTTTCAAGTTAAAATAATGAGAACTGGTTCCAGAACTGATACTGGCTATGGAAAAGCGCGTACCGGAAAGGTGCTGCGAAAAATAAAATAAAAATATGATAAATCTTGTAAAATTGAGTAGGTTCAGAATCCTTAGTTTGGGATTAAAATGCTAAGCGTAGCAATTAGCGATAATACTGTGTGTTTAATTCCTAAGTGGCTATAAATACAATTATTTGCACAAAACCCTAGACATTCCTATTGTCCCTACGTGAGACTCCTCGGGTGGCTGACCAGAAACACTATTCCATTGGCCTTCTCCTTCATTTGTTGAGCTTTGAGGCCACTTCCTTCATGAATTCTTATCCTCAACACTTGGTGTGGGTGAGAGTTAGTTTTGGGGCGGTGTTGTTGGCCTTCTTCTTAGTTGAGGGTGTTGTCTTGTGTGACGGTGTGGGGATGAGTTAGTGGGTTGTTGTGTTGGGGCCTTGGTCTTGGTTGTTGAAGCTCCAAGTGCTAATTTTTGTGAAGAAAAACCCAGTCTTGCTTGCCATTTTCGTTTTCTGTACAAGTCAGTGTTTGGGGAGTTGCTGGTGAGCTCCATGAGCCATTGCTTTGAGTGTGTGTAGTGGGTTTTTGAGTAAAGGGGCATGTTAGATGTATGTATGCTTATAACGACTATAATTTATTAGCTTGATGAGTTGTAATTATATGCAAGTTGGATCAATGACTAAAATTTAGAATGTAACTTATACATAACTTAATTTAAACTTAACAGTTTATTTTTTCAGCTCTGTGGTTCGATTTTATCAACAAAATATTTTGATAAAGCAAAAGTTTCAAAAATATTTGATATCAAAAAGCGACTAGAGAAACTTTTTAGATTTAGTTTAATTTAAAGGGACACGATCTGTTTACAAATTTCTTTTGCAATTACACTAATGTAGGACCGGTCGTACACTGTGTGATTAATGTAGGACTGGTCCTACATAGTGTAGTTTGTAAACAAAAAAGTTTGTAAATATAATCTGCCCCTAATTTAAATAATTATTTATCAAGTCCAAATTGTAACTGTTTTCATGATTTGTTCATTGTGTGGTATTCTCAATCATTATTATATATTTTTTTACATAAAGCTAAAGAGTTAATTTCTGATTCCATTTCTCCGGATTTACAATTCGATTTTTTTTTTAATTGGTGAGACTGAAAAATGTTTTTTTAGACGAGATATATATTAGATTTGCGTAATATAGATCATGTACGGAAACGTTAATGACTATTGTTTTAGTGTTGATCAATTACCTTCACTTGATGGATTAATTGTAAATTTAGATAACTCTAAATTGAATAGGTTGATATTGAGTATAACACACTACAACTGGTCCACATATTACTTTGTAGGGACGGTTAGTCTACTCTTAAAAGAAACGAAAAGTAAATAAAATATGATCACTCTAAGCTGCACAAGTAGGAGCTTTGCCCGTAATTACGGGCTTGACATTGGCACATTTAGCGGTTGCTGGGGCTCCATTGAACGTGAGATCAACATTGCTTAACTCAACACCCTCACAAGGGGTACCACTGCTGCAAATAAGAATCAGCCCTTCTGGAGTTCCTGAAGTGCCCTTAATGTTCTTGAAGGAAACCTTGCTTATCTTTACTTTTGATGGAGTCTAAGACATTGAAAGCGTACAAGAAACAGACAAAAATGAGTCATTTAAATTACCTCATTCAAATTAAGACAAGAAGATTACTAGTTAAGATAATAACATTAAAGGATAAAGATAAAAATTTTGGATGAAATACCTGCTTGTTGCACGTGTTCCATGGACAGTACTCTTGGTCTATGATGATAGGGTTCTTAACATTAACAACAGTAATATCTTCAAAATGCATATCAGTGGCATGAGATGTTCCAGGGGCGCTAGGCCAGGTCTTGATCCTAACACCATTGTCAGTGTCAGTCAAAGTGCAATTCTTAACACGTAAACCTTCAACGGGTTCTTCATTTGGGTACTTCCCAAGGCTTCCAACACTAATACCATGACCAGGTCCACAATTCACATTTTGGACAGTTATTTGTTTACTCCCATCACCCAATGAGATGCAGTCGTCTCCGGTACCAATGTTTGTGTTAAGAACCTTCACATCAATTGATCTTCCAATGTGGATTCCATCAGTGTTAAAGCTCTCTGCAGGGGCCGTAACTTTGAAGCCATCAAATGTAAAATTGTTGCATCCCAAAACATTCACATGAAAGTATTTGCTGTCCTTAGTTGTAATGTCTCGGACAACTGAATGTTTGAGAAAATTAAAACCAAAATTCTGTTGCCATTTGACAGAAAAATCAATTAGAATGCCTGATATATAATTGATACTATTAAAGGTAAAAGTTTATGTGTCATTAAAATGCCGATATTAATATTTACCATTGAAAGCTTCTTGCAATTAGTGTCTGACGCACAATCATTTTGCTTCCAAGCAGTTGTACCTTGACCATCGAAAATTCCATTGCCTGATAAGGTGAAAAAGTCAACATATCCAAACTTGATCCATTGATCGGCCCCCTTGAGGTCATCAGGGTTTGGAGGTGCTTGAATTGTGCCATCAACTCGAACTTCAATAGGAGCCTTGCAAGGACCTTTGACATCAACGGCGTTCATCTTGTATGTACCAGCAGGAATCACAATTTTGGCTGGAGTTGTTGATGCACATGCTTCTTTCCAAGCACTTAAGAATGCCTTAACAGTTAACAACATGCAAAACACAAATCAATTATAAATCACGAAAGAAAAGGACTTGGCCCTTGACACTATACAAAAAGATGAAAAAAATAATAATAATAATAATTCTCAATGTCAGCTCAACATGATAATACCGAAGTTATATCTGCATTTGGTGCTCCGCCAAATTTTGATATGTCAAAGACCCCAGGTTGGGCTCTACCAAAGTCAGCTAGAAATAAGAATAAAACAATTGCTGTGATGGCGAACTTCATATCTGTTTTGATTATTATCGCTAGAACGTTGTCTTCTTGCACTTCTCTTGAAGAATGAATGTGGTTTCAATGTATAGTGCAACTCAATTTATATTGGAGCGGCAAGCCTCAAGACCATAAATATGGTAAGCAAATTCGTATCCAAATATAACTTTTTTCCATTTTTAATTGTTTGGCTGAGTTTTGGTATATTATTAGTAATTCATTTTTCATCACTAATCAATGTCTATAGTTATTCATCTCAACATGTCTTATTTTTTTTCTTAGCCACTCATGAAGATTCAAATTTTCGATATTCTTTTTTTGTCTCATGCATTATTTTCCAATTACATTTTCACTACTCAACTAAAAAGTTGACAAAATGAAGTTTATGACAACGCAGAGAAAGAGTATTCTGTTTTTGGTAATGTAGATGCGTTGGGAATGAGAACAGATGAAGATGCGGAGGAGTTATAAAGAGTTGTTTGATGTTAATATATCAGCTCTAAAAATTAACTTAATCAGTGAATCGATAAAAGAAAATTTTGAGTTCGCAGCAAGATAATAAGGAATATTTTAGTTTGTATGCTCACAAAAAATTTAGAATATGAATATTAAAGAGTGTATCACTATTTGAACTTATAACATCGATCTAAATCTCTCGTATTTATTATCAACCAAATAAACCAAAAGGACGTGAGGATTAAATGAAAATTAGACAATTGTGCCATAAGAATTGTTATATATTTAAGGGATTTCGTGAATTCTTCAAGAATGATTTGGCAACAATACAAACTTACTGTTAAAAACCATAATTTATATTATTCTTTAACACAGGTCCAATTTTTGGTGCTTTTTTTTTCACTCAAGCTCTGATACCATGTTAAATAACCACTTCAACCCAAAACCTTAAGGTGTTGGGTGAGGGCCCTTTTAATGATTTATATTATTCTCTAACACTTACTCAGGCTACTCAGAAGCAAATAAAAAAAATATCATTTTTTTAAAAAAGATACTCTAATTTGATAAAATGTAATTAGACTTTTAGATATTACATATTTGAATTTTACATTTAATACATTAAAAAAGATAATCATCATCAACAACAACAGTAATACCCAGCTATTTGATATCAAATATGATTTTTACAAAGAGTATTTCAGGAAACTGTATGCTGTAACACCCCGTGTGCACCCGATGTATTAACATACAATGGTAATGGCGCAGCTAATTAATTGCGGAAGCTAACTTTTTCTTTTCAATTATGACGTCATTATTATTAACCAAGTTGATTACTTAATCCTTTTTCAAAATAATGCATGCATGTAAATTGCAATAAATAAATAACTGGAATACCTCATATATAAATGTGTATCTAGTCACGGAACTACAACACGTAGTCCGGACATAATCCTGATTCATTATACATCACGAGTCTAAGAAAACAAAGAATAATCAATATGGCATGGACAATCCCCATGCTCACCAAATAAGGAAACAAGCCCAACATAGTCTTAACACAAATGGCAACATAATGGCAATAAATCATGATAAACAGCCAGGCATAACAGCACAACATCATATATCTCAACTCAGCTCCGGCCTCATGCCGCCCGAGGTATCAACCCCCGAGGTACCTGAACCTGAAAATGTGCCCCAAACGTGGGGTGAGATCTCTACAAAGAAATCTTAGTAAGACAAGGGGTCCTTAAGGATCTCTCCACCCCAAGCTCACTTACATGTGTAATATAAGTTCTAAAACTGTAACAACCCGCACCGTTAATTAAAGAATTTAAATCTCTCGTATTTATTATCAACCAAATAAACCAAAAGGACGTGCATGAGGGAATATTTTAAATGAAAATTAGACAATTGTGCCACAAGAATTGTTATATATTTAAGGGGTTTCGTGAATTCTTCAAGAATGATGTGGCAACAATACAAACTTAGAGCCCGTTTGTTTGAACTTATCAAAAAAGTAATTTTTATGTCTTCCTTATTTTAGAAGTGTTTTTTATAAAAGTTAAAACTATTTATATTTTTATAAAAAAATTTAGTTTTTGAAAAGAAAAATTTGGCTTTTGACTTCTGCTTTTCTTATAAGTTAAAATTTTTAGCTTCTGAAAAAAGTAGGTTTTTGAGTTTTTTTGTGACTTATGTTTTTTTTAAAAGCAGACATCCAAACGAACTAAAAACAAGAAGTGTTTTTTTTCTTTAAAAAAAAAATAGTTTTTGAAGAAAAAAAGCTCATCCAAACAGGACCTTACTCAAGCTACTCATAAGCAGATAAAAAAAATGTCATTTTTTTTTAAAAAAGATACTCTAACTTGATAAAATGTAATTAGACTTTAAGATATTACATATTTGTATTTTACATTGAATACATTAAAAAAAAATCATCAACAACAATAATATACCTAGCTATTTGATATTGTAACACCCCGTATATATCCGGTAGTGTTATCATTACATCGTATTAAGCTACGCTTAATTAAAAGTGCGGAATATTCTTTCTCTTTTCAATTATGACGTAATTATAAATTACCAACTTGATTACTTACTCAATTTCATAAAATATCGCCTGAATGTAAATTGCAATAAGACATTTACTGAAATACCTCAATATATAAATAAAGTGAGTATCTAAATCACAAATCTACATCACGTAGTCCGGACAATATCCTGATACATTATTAAAACTCCAAATAAAACTAAGACATAACTAGTCTAAGTGTCATGGACAATCTCCATGCTCACCAAATCAACAGCGTCTCAACAAGATAATCATAAACATAAAATGAAGCTCAAAGCATAAAAGCAGCATGCATATCCAGCATCCAACAAGTCAGCATATAAAATCATCAATATCTTGATGAATCAAAGTGATGATGTGGATACAACGTACACTTGATGATTCCACGTCAACATAGTTTTGATGTTAACAAAGAAGAATGATTCAAAGACGAAGCAATATCAAAAAGCAAATGTGAAAGCATGCACCAAGTCTCAAATATCTATCCAAGTCCAAAATCTCAAATGGTATATTTATTTAGGACTTAGGAAAAATGTGTAAAGATGTATAGATGATAAGCATTGCATGAGCTCAAGGTCATTCATCAATCATATATTTCAAAAGCATGCATCCTTAAAAGAAAAGTCAAAACAAATGGTTTTATAAGTACAACATTGGTTTGGAAGAGGTACCTACAAAATACAAACTTTTCTAGACAATTTCCATAACCAATAATATACCTTACAAGTCATAGGAACCATTTGAAAAGAAAAGAAACTCAGAATTCGAGCAAAAAGGATGCTGCCATGAAATATCCGGATATTGCACATAGAATATCCGGATATCCAATATCCGGATATTGATATCCGGATATCCAATATCCGGATATGAGCCCGATGAATATCCAGATATGTACGGATTACAACGGCTATAAACGGCTAGTTTTCGTAGGAGCTGTCATTATAAATACCCACATCAACTAGGATGAACAGTACACGACCCTATAGCATTTATTGAAGCTTTATTACTCTTGCTAGCCTTTTATTACTCATTAATTACTCATTTTGATCATTGTATACACTTGAGCTTATCTTTCCTTTGAAGTTATACATCTCTTAGTTCTTCAATTTGTTCAATCTGTACTTTGAGAGTACTTAGCCACTTCTAATCACCTCAATCCTACTTCTTGATTTGAGAGGGGAGTGAACCCTATATTTGAGAGGTTACCAAATTCCTAAGAAAATTTTGAGTGAAAAAGTGTAAGGCATCAAGAGCCCGAAGTCTTGAAAAGTTGTAGTGGTTTGTCAAGCACCCTCAAGCTTGATAGTTAGTGAAAAGAATTGATCGAGCGGCTTCAGTCTGGACGTAGGTCACGGTGGTGGTGACCGAACCAGGATACATCTAGTTTGCAATTTCTCTAACCTTAATCTCTTTATTTAAGTATTAAAATTGCATCTTAGATTGTCTTTATATATACGATTGCTTGCTTTGTTGTTCACTACACTTGCTTTTACAATTAGACATTTCCTTATTAAATCACTTTATTGTAGAAATAGTCTTTAAAACATCAAAGGAGGTACTTTGCGAAAAGATTTTGTAAAACTCAATTCACCCCCCCTCTTGAGTATTGAAGCCACCTGTCCAACAAGTGGTATCAGAGCTTGAACTCTTGTGTAAAGAGCTTAACCACTTCAAGAGAACAGATGGCTTCTTTGAACCATGATATGCCCCTTGAGGGATCTTCTAGTACTAGACCTCCTTTTTTCAATGGCGTCGATTATTCCTATTGGAAGAGTCGAATGAAAATATTTCTTCAATCTAATGATTTAAGAGTATGGAGTATAGTTGAAAAAGGGTATACACTACCTACTATAAAAAATGGGAAAGATGAAGATATTCCTAAAGATATAGATAATTACACCGAAGATGAAATTAAGAAAGGAAATTGGAATGCTAGAGCTCAAAACTTGATTACAAATGCCTTAGGTCGTGATGAATACTTTCGTGTTTCAAATTGTAAGAATGCTAAGGAAATGTGGGATATTCTTCAAATAACCCATGAAGGAACTAGTGATGTTAAATTTACAAAATTAAATGCACTCACTAGAGAATTTGAAATGTTTGAAATTCATGAAAATGAAAGTATTCAAAGTATGCAAAAAAGATTCACACACCTTGTCACTCATCTAAATGCTTTAGATAAATCTTTTACTAACATTGAGTTAATTGCTAAGGTGATGAGAAGTGTGCATAATAGGGAATGACAACCCAAGTTGACGGCTATTACGGAATCAAAAGATTTGAAAACCATGGATCTTGCAACCTTGTTCGGCAAGCTCCAAGAATATGAAATGGAGCTAACCAAAATAACCTTGAAGGAACAAGCCATCAAGAAAAGTAAGGGAATTTCCTTGAAAGCCTCGACACCAAGCAAACAAACCTTTTTCATTTCACCATCCTACATAACAAGTAGCCCATTCATTAAATGTTTTCATTGTGGTGGAAAAGG